AGTAGTAGTAGTAGAAGTAGTAGTAGTAGTAGTAGTAGTAGTACTAGTAGTAGTAGTAGTAGTAGATGTAGTAGTAGTAGTAGTAGTAGTAGTAGTAGTAGTAGTAGTAGTAGCAGTAGTCGTAGTAGTCGTAGTAGTAGTCGTAGTAGTCGTAGTAGTAGTCGTAGTAGTAGTAGTAGTAGTAGTAGTAGTAGTAGTAGTGGTGGTGCTAGCAGCAGAAGCAGCAGAGTAGTAGAGCAGTAGAGTCAGTAGAACGGTAGTACAGTAGCAGCAGGAGCAGCAGTAGTGGTAAGAGTAGGAATAGGACTCGGAGTCGCAGTCGCAGTTGCAGTGGCACTGGTAATAGGAGAAAACTCAGACGAGGATGAGGACGAGGACGAGTCAGCATGTTCATCATCCTTCGTCCTCATTCGACTAGTGACACATTTTGCGTCCCAGCAGCATCTCGGAAGCCTTCCAAACCTCTCCAGCAGCCCTGAGAGCAACCAGGTCTCTGTGAAAAAGCACCTCACCCCGAGCCCGAAGGGATACGGCGTATGCCACCCCGTGCTCAGCGATCTCCCATCTGCGAGAGGGCGCCCTGCTGTGTTTGTTTTGGTCCTAGTGCTGGAAATTCTGAATTTTGGGCTTTCATCGGAAACCCGACCCGAGCCTACACCCCCTGAGTCCAACACGGCAAATTGGGCGCTAAACTTGAAATCCTAAGGTCCGGATTCCCCTCGACACTCTTCACTTTCTTTGTGCCGACTCTGGTAGAAAAGATCGGCTCGCGAAGCCTGATGACATTCGGCCGCCCGGTGAGGAACTATGGGGATTTCGACACTATTTCCACGAATTCGGTGCTTAAGGGTTTGGGGATTTGCGGCTTTGGGACTTAGAGGATCTTCTGCTGGGGAAGTGGGGCGTTTGGGTGCCGCAGCTAGAGCATGGGGGTTGGGATTTGGGTTGGGGTAGCATGTTGAGGTTTAGGTTCTCTTAGGGTGAAATAATTCGACAGCATTATTTTTTGTTATTGTTTCTTGTTGTTTGTTGTGTTGTTGTTATGCTCGTTTCTGCTGCTGTGCTGCTGGTGTAGTGGTGGTCGTGATGAATATTGTGTCCGTCGCCGTCGTCGTCGAATACCGAAGAAACATCAACCGGTTGTAGTTATTCGAAGGTAATGTTCCAAAAACCTAACCCCCCATGATAAACCTGAGAGTCCTGAAATAATTGCGAACCCTGAACCCCGAAGCCTCGCCCGAGTTCAGAACCCGCCCGAGCAACCCCTCGGCCCCATGGACTTCGCCGACGACAACTCCGACGTGACATATTACGCCGCGGGCCGAGGGTATAGGATTCAGGGATGAAGCTCGGTCAAATTCTTGGTGTGGGTCTGACTTGAGATTCTTAATAAAGAATGTTGTGGGGTTCAGGATTTAGGTTCGGGCTTGGGTAGCTGTTGGGGCCCGAACCGATCGGTGCCATGGAACATTCAGGGAGCAAGCGTCGGTTTTCGGATCTTTCGGATTCAGTGGCTGCCGAATGCTGACAGGACATTAAGGCTTTGTATTCCGTGGCAGAGTCTTTGGATATGGCCGTTTCTGGCGGAGCGGCTTTTCATGTGCTTTTGGATGGTCGTGCTGAGCGGTGCTGGGATCATTGGTTTGTGCCAGGGTCGCTACAGGCAACTTGGTCCTCCACCTGCTAAAGTCGTGGCCAAGGTCACAGAATATGTGTATCAAACAGTCGTGCGCCAGTCGCGCACGCTTCGCATCTTGCAGGCGGAGGTGCATCAGGGAATTTCAGTGCCAGTTCTTGATACCACCACCGGTCGAGCGGTAGTGGCAGGAGCGGCGCCTTGCCGCCAAGACACCGTCTTGGAGGTTTCTGTGGGGGCTTCAATGGTTGGAGTCAAGGGCTTCAGGTCTTGTGCTCCTTCGGATACTCTTGCGGTGTCAAGTGGTTGCCGGACACAGACGAATGTTGCTTCGAGGGCACGCGCCAGATCCATCCTGCGTTGCATAAGGTGTTCACGCAAGCAGATTTGGCAGAGGTTGGCCAATCCGAGGAGCCTGTCTTTGTCTGTGCTAGCCTGGAGCATGTGTGGTGGGCCCAGGGTCCCGCCACGACGGGTCCGCAAGTCCTTTGCGCCTCGCCGCCTTGCCGGCCTTGGAGTGTAGGTGGCGTGAGCTCAGGTTTCAGCTGATCCTTCACCTGCTAGGGCAGTTAGCTTGCCTGCAGGTACCCATTGTGCTGATTGAGCAAGTCCCCCATTCTGACTTTGAGGTTATTCAGAAGGCTTGGGCCGACGCAGGTTATCAGGAGCGTTGGTCGGGAGTCATTGACATCAGTGAGGTGGCTCCTGTGTCCAGGAAAAGATACCTTTTGGTCCTGGGTCGAGCAGATCTTCAGTTTCCCCCTGTTGTGTCTGAGTGGCCTGTGCTGCCACCCCGACCAACTCTGGGTTCTTTCGATTGCTTGCCGGAGCAGCCTGTTGCCATGCTTGAGGCATGCAGGCTGTCCCACGATGTCCTGCAGATTTATATGGACCCGTGGTTCCTACCGCCTTCGAGACACCCTCAAGGCCGGCGACAGAAAACTGTCCGCACAGGATCTGCACTTATCTCCAACAGTTCACTCCATCAGTAAGCTCCAGCGCCCTCTGGACCCGGGAGGTTCTGGCCATCAGACGGTCAACAGCAGTAGTCGTTTGTCCAAGGGCCAAACCCTTATCGAGGAACAACTGTGCAAGCTCCGATTGAACGGCACGGAACTTGTCATCCTTGGCACTGCTTCCTCGAGTTTCCGGCATGAAAGAAATCAGCAAGAAGCCCCCTCTCGACCGATCAGGCTCAGCGTCTACGGCCTTGGGACCCGACAAAACCCTGGCGGGGCGAGCAGAGCGAACCGCTCCGCTAAGCCAGCTTGCTCCAAGAGATCCGCTAGGTCCTCGAAAGTAAGGTCGGAGGGCAAAGAGCCCAACCACAAAGTACAACCTTCAAGCTGAACCTTGGCCCGCGCGTGGCCCTCGCCGGAACACAGGTTCGCCTCGACTGCGCGCAAAAGGCCCACGAGGAGCAGTTTATGACAGCCGTAAAGAACCAAGGATTCAGCGCCCGCAGGCGATGGCGCCGCGGCGCGAAGACAATGTCAGCCTGCAGGCCCCGTGCTTCAGACATGCCGGGCAGCAGGTGAACGGCCCAACCGGAGGCATGAAGAACGTGCGCTGGGAAGGCAGAACAAAGCTGGAGAGTATTCCCCGCCGGATATGCGCAGTCGTGGCGGCATGGCCTGGCTCCGGACCTCAAAAGCCTGGGGCTGCTCCAAAGAAACCTGGAAAGGCCAGGCGCTGAAAGGATCCACAATGCGAAAGGCAACAGAGCCCTGCAAATCAGTGCGGTCCAGCACATAGTGGCCCTCAAGGTTGTACCGTCTGTCTTCCTCAAAGAAACATGCCGAGGCCCAGCCCTCAAAGCCCATGACCTGGGACAGTTCCCACAAGAAGAAAAGACTCGCCCGATTCAGAAAGTAGAACGCAGAGCGCCCGACAACAAACATGACCTTGGTGTCGTCGTCTAGGCCAAGCTGCAGCAATGGCAAAGGCAGCGAGGGCATGATATCAACGTCCAGGCAGGCCTCCTCAGGCAGGCATCTGATGCCAGCACAAACTGACACGTGTCCGCGGAATCTCGGAGCACAAAGCTGGTGAAGACAAAGCTGAGATCCGGCAGGCGTTGCCGTGGCTCCCATGTATCAAAGACGGACACGAAAGCTTGCAGTTGCTTGCCCTCACAGCACATCACCCAGCCTTGGGCAAACTCAAGGAAACGAACCTGGCCTGCCAAAGTCTGCAAGACAGCTTGCGCCGTTGAGATGCGCAGATGCGAGGGCCCGAGTATCTGAAAGGCCATTGCCAAAGGAAACACCGCGTGCAAAGGAGACAAACTGTTGCCGATGATTCTCATGTGACACCGGTCATCACGCGGGAGCCAGACAGGCTCGACTGCGCAATGGAGCCAGGTGATCTCCGCCCCACTGAAGAAGCGAGGCCCCTCCGAAGAATCCAACAGTGCCCCAAACAAGCCCGCACGTTCTAACAACTGTGGGGAGAGCTCGTGTTGATAGTGACACTGTGCAAGGAAGGTCGGCGCCCTGTCACTGAGGCCACATAGGCGGAGCTCTGGGGAGTCTGCTAACTTGCCGGATCGCCCCTCGCGCACATCCACGGCGGCGGGTGCTGTTCAACAGGAGGCCCAGAGACGACAGCAGCGCAACGCCACGCAGCCTAAGGCAGGAGATTTGCAGCTGCCCCACGGCTTCTTTCGCAATGCGGATGATTTTGACGCCCGCATGTTGTCGCAACTTGTTCCCGGCGCCAGCGGGCGGTCTTCTTGTGTGACACCTCTGATGCGCAGCGGCTCCTGAGTACATGGACAGGCCAGTGCTCTGATGAACTGGGTTTGGTCACTTGGTCATGCCTGCCCGGATCCCTCATCGTGCCAGGGCCATTGTGGAAAGTCTGTCATTGTGCACACGTGTTGGCACAACCTCGGGGCGAGCCCGCTCCACGTTCGATGTGTGCATGCCTCCGTGGCTCTGCAGGGATGTCTGCATTTGCTTGCGCGTCTTCAAAGACGAGGTGCGGCCGACGGAGTGGGAGAGCTACACGGCCAGGCTTGAGGCCCCGTACGGGAGACGCTTTCGAGATGCAGGTCGCCCGTGCCAGCAGACCGAGTCTATGAAGTTCTCATCTACAGCCGTGGGGGGGGGCCGAAAACAGGGTTCGCGTAATTCACCCGGGGAGGTTCACTGAAACAATGGTGTTTTTTGATCTACACACGCACCCGAAAATATTTGGGCTGCCGGACAGGCATTTGGTTTCGAAACGTGACTGTGGCCATTGGGCTGGAAACTTTTAGGGTTTGAGTCTAGGGTCGACAAAATTGTGTTGCTTGCGTTGTGCTTTTAAGTCTTGAGGCTGTTGTTTTGTGGGATGTGTGTGTGTGTGTGTGTATGTTTTCATCAGATGTCGCATGGCAGCCGTTTGCAAGCACGTAGCAGTTTACTCGATTACAACAACTCCCTAAACCCTAGGCTAAACCCTAAACCTAAACCCGACGACAAAGCCGTTGTTGCGAGCCGTTTGCATGCACTTTAAGCAGTGTATTAATCGCCGCACCAAAAACATGGAGCCTGATTTGGAACGAATCAGCACACCGGAAGCTACCAAGACAAGACGGCATCACAAAAAGGGCGTTCAAGAGTCTGCTCGGCGTGAGCAGCCAGTGTTCGTTCCGTTTTGTGCAAGTGACATAGCTGATGAAGAGGTTGGGGGTGAAACTGTGCAGTGTCTCGGGGTGCAATACTTGGTGGAGTTCGCAAAGTCGCTGCAAAGTGCTCCGGCTGTGTGTTCGGCCAGTGAGTTGGCTTCGCATCGAGATGCATGGATGTCTAGACCTTTGCGACGACGGGACCGGGAAGCCCAGGACTCGAGACTTGGGAAAGGTTCAGCGTCGCAAAGCGGCCAGTTTTGTAAGCTGCACGTCACCAATGTGTTTCACTTCGCAGACCGGGAGAGGCGGTGCACCTTGCGAAGGCAAGATGCATTCCCCGGCAACCAGATCGTGCAACTCCAACCTGTGAGCGAAGACTGCCGACAGCATATGAGAACCCACGGGGCTCCGGACGAATTGTTGAAACATGGGCGCTCGGTTCGTTTTTGGAAGGTGCCGCTTGCACTTCTCGACAGTTTGAAAGGAGGTGAACTTGTTCTTGCCGTACCTCAAGGGATTTGTCGCAACATGGGCTTTCGGACGTTTTCCGAAGAGCCCACTGCAGAGTCTGCTCCTTCTTCCGTGCCATCCCTGGCTCTGCAGTCTGCAAACCCGCTGAGGCAGGGGACACTGAAGAGGCTCCTGCTGGTGGTGGTGCAGGGGACGATTTAGCGGATCTTCTTTGGGATGTGCAGGTTTCGACAAAAGGCAAGGCCATCCGAAGGCGCCCCATGACCGAGATTCTGATGGGAAAACTTTGCTATTCCTTGAGCTCCACAGCACACGTGGCTGAGGTGGTGCAAACTGTGCTTCGGATGATGGATGTGGTGGCTGAGAACACGAACCAAGAAGACGTGAATCCCTCCAAGAGCCACGTGCGAACAATTCTCGTGAAGCTGGACTGTTTGCGCAGCTTGAGTCGAAGAGTTTTCGCGAAGCCGGGCCAGCCTGATCGAAGAACGGTCAGGTTTTTGTCGGCGGACAGCAGTCCCCAGGCAAACTACGACTACTTCCTGGTCACGGAAGAACTGATGACTCGAAGCAGTGTCCTTGGTGTGCCCGTGGATTCAAGTGGGGAAGTAGATCCGTGGGCAGGGTTCACCGTGGAACGGAGGACCATGGTAGTGACCACCATCGCTCGCGGTGAGAGCTCGGCAGCTCTGAAGACCATGAGAGTTCTGCACATCGTATGCTTGGAGAACACAGCGGCGGCTCTCCCACAGTATAGAGACGAAGTGAGAGGATTCTTGTCGGATCAGGGCACGGAGCGGTTGATTTGCAAATACCCCTTAGCTGGTTCTTTGCACGTGGTGTTCAACACCCTGGAGGCTGTAGTCAAAAGCGTACCTGAATTCGAGGTACTTCACAAGCAGCTCCTCACATTGTGCAGACTATTAACGCATCGCAGCTATCAAGAAGTAGTCGAAAATAAAATGCTGCATGGCTGCACAGCAGCAGACAAGCAGGCCTTGCATAGCTTCCGCGACTCACTCCTCGAATGGAGATGGGACAGTTTGCATCGTGTTCTGAGCCAATGGGCCCCTCTTCGGCTGGTGCTTCTGAGGCACTGGAGGCCAGAGGAATTTGGTTCGGAGCCACACATAGCAAAGCAGGTGAGCGACATTCTCGAGGATGGCATGCACGGCTGGATGATCATGTGGGCTGGGA